TTCAAGCGGGTGGTTGAAGTACCACATGTTTTATTATTAAAACGTAAATAAACCAATCACGACACTTAAGAACAACATTATTAAGTAGTGTTAGTATTTGTTGATATAACAAATGAAGAGGTATACGAAGAGGCAACGTTTAAAAAAACCGAAGTAGTGAAAACCGTAAACATACGAAAATTTTAAGTATTTTATCCATGCTATACGACACCCAGAACCTATGGAGTCTTCCATCTTCACACTTGCCATTGTCGAGAAGCAGAACTAATCTGACATAACAATGGCAAGTGTTACCTTGTAAAATCGTCAAAACAATGTTTTTTTTTAACCAGAATTATTCACCATCACCATTGAGTCAAAACCCAGAAATCACATACCGGGTAGTGAATCGTCAAACGGGCCATAGGAAACTCAATGGGAAATTTTAAATTGTTAAATTGCTGCTTCCCTAATTATTTTAGATCAAAAGTCTTAAAAAACTATTTGTAGAGGACTAAATTCTAAATTAAAAACAAATGTTAAAACCGTTCTACGAATCAAATGTACTTCAAAATTTTGCAAAAATATAATAGATTTTTCAGACCAGCCCTAGAAGTTAGGCCACACGTAATACAAGAATATATTATAAAGTGTGTGTTTTATCATATTCATGTCAGATGTTTGACAATTTGAATTGTCAATTTTTTTTATTTTATGATTAAATTATAAACAATGAATTTTACTAAATACTACTACTACTGAACAATATTACTTCGTGAACAATAAATTATATTGTTTACAAATCGATCAATATAATGAAATGTACTCAGTTGACGAAAAATCGCATAATGTTGTATTCAGGCAATAGCGCGAACCTTTTCCTGTCACTACCGGATCTTTATTTAAAGTAAGATATTCTAATACACTAAAATTTAATTCCATGTTAAGTTAAGTTATACAAAAATTCAATGAATTCCAATATACTGTTACTGTGATCTTTATTCCCAATAATAATATACGATAATTTCTAAACATAAAACTATAACAAATGTTATAATAAAACATGAATAAAACATTTTTATTATTGCTCTTTTCTCCTTAACTGAGTACATTTTTTAATCAACTTAATTTGTCTTTTAAATAATAAATCACAAAATTTTGGCCATTTAAATCATAGATAAATATAATATACTTGATTTAAATATTGTCAAATATTATAAACGTCAATATGACAAAACGCAACACGTAATACACATTCTTTTCACGGCGTCTGGCCTGACTTTTAGGGGTGGCCTGAAAAATGTATTATATTTTAGCAAAATTTTGGAATACGTTTAAGTCGTAGAACAATTTTGACAATTGTTTTCGATACATATTTGAGTCCTCTACAAAGAGTTCCCCATGACTTTTGGTGTAAAATAATTAGGGAAGCAGGAATTCAACAATTTAGAATTTCTCATGGAGTTTCCTATGGCCCGTTTGACGATTCACCACCCGGTATAGCTCCAGCGGAAACTTCAAATCCAATATACAGGGTGTTTAATTAATAATTGGAAATATTTTAATTGTAGTTTCCTGGGCTCAAAATATTAAAATTTGGCCCAACTTACTTAAATAAAGTGTTGCTCCTTACTGAGTTACAGGGTGTTTTATTTAAAAACTATTTGTGCCCAGTAAAACTATTTGACATATCCTTGTTATACTTGGCAGAAAGTTTAGATACTGTACGCGCTACTAAATTATGTTAAATAAACGTTTCTGGCTACTACCAGTGTAAAACATCCTGTAACTCAGTAAAGAGCCACATTTTATATAAGTGATTTGAGTTCAATCTTAATATTTTCCCAGGAATCTACAATTAAAATATTTCCAATTACTAATAAAACACCCTGTATAATGTGTACTATAAAATAAAATACAAATTCTAGTCATTAAAATCGACGGCGCAGCGGTCCGCTGTTGATACCTGCGAAAAATAAATATTGACGATACTAGAATGGTTGCGGCAAAGGACGATGTTTTGGTCAACACACAAAAATCCGGGGAAGGTTGATTAGCCTTACTAGAGTCTAGGTTAGAAGTAGTCCATCGATCTCTTCTCGGTAACGGACAAGGAGCCGAGGCGATCGATTAACACTCGATCGCAGACGGGAAAGACGGTTGGTCTTTGAATAATACTCAAAGATCCGGTGTGGGAGCTCTTGACAGATCAAACTCCGCTCGTTGTCGGTATAAAACTATAAAACCACATTTTATACCTTTGTCAGTATTTTATCTCCAGCGCGCATCGATGGTGGTGGTAAGTTGTCGGTGAGTACAGAGAGATGGCAATCCGGTGACGAACACTGGCTGTGCCGTCTTTATAACATGGCTTTAAGATGTACACGATGTAGTACAAGAAATCAACCCCATACAACAAGACGGCATTGCGCTGTATGTAAGGTGGGGCATTGTTTAACAGAAAAAACAATTGTTTTCTAAAATTTCGTAAAAAATAAAAGTGCAAATACATTATTGTTTTTATTATTAATATTTCACTTATTATTGATTTCGAAAAAATAGAAAAAAGATTTTGACATGTAACCTTTAATTTTATATATCACTGTATCTGGAACTTATATACTGTTTTTTGTCAAACATTTAATTTAGACTTAAAAGGTTACTTGACATAGTCAATTTTGTTGTAAAATTGCCAATTTTCTATGTTAGATTTATTATTGTTAATTGGTATGTAATTCGTTTACTTTTTTTAATGTTTGTTAATTGTTGTTTGTAAGAACTGCATCGAATTATAATTTTTTCTTAATTCTAGCATCATTGCCGAAACTGTGGTGAAATATTTTGCAACGCCTGCTCAGACAATACAATGCCCCTTCCGTCGTCCGCTAAACCAGTTCGTGTTTGTGATGACTGTCACCTGATATTATTGGGCAGGAATAACTCTGTGATGAACTAGTTTTAAGCTTAAAGTTTTACTATATTTACAAAAATGCAAAATATATTTATATATTTTATTATTCAATGAAAAAATATAAAAATTACAAAGATTTTGTTTCTTTTTTTTATATATTTACATATTTATTATACACCTTGTTCGAGATTCGTTTAAAATTTTATAATATTTACATCTTATAGGATATTCACAAAACAAATTTTCAACTATACACAAAAAATAGTTTTATCAGTATGTCATTTATGTTAAGGTAAGCAAAGTGACATATTTTGAACTTGAGTTGCCAGACATCAACCAACGAAACGATCAGATGCTCAGCATGTGTTAGTTAATGCCAAATGTTTTGTGCTATTGAAGCAGATTTGCACTGTCATTATTGCCACGATTTATGAAAATATATATTATCATTTGGCTTCTTTGTGCATTTAAAATATTTTTATTTTTCGATCAAAAATATCTGATTCTATCGAAATATCACACAAACATTTGTAATTTGTTACATTATTAATACAAAATCACATGCTGCCTCTATATTTAACTTGACCTTTATGTGTCTTCATCTAGTTGAAAATGTCTTCTATGAATATACTTTAATATTCTATAAAGTATAGATAAAGCTATGGACGAATGGATTTTTTAATACACAACATCATTAACATATTTTGAACATTTTATGGACACAATAGTATCCATAGAATTTACACTATTCTTAAAGGTTAAAAATGGACGGATTCCACAAAATCACGTTTTAGAAATAAGTAACAAACTGTGCATGAAATATGCTATTAATTAAAATAAATATAATGTGCAATGTAAACACTTTTAGATAACTTTCTGTAAGTTATTATCATATTTAATAATAAATGCAGAAAGCTTAAGAAGGTGTCGAGGTCCTTTAAGGGCTATAGCACCGTGATTATGATGATATTTAATGGGAATTAATCACAATTTTAATTGGAAATATGTTTATTTTCAATCAAAATTATGGATAATTGCCATTAAATTAATAAACATAAAAACGCCACAAAGAAATAGTGTCATTTCCATAAGTTAACTACTAGGGAATGGGAGTTATTAAGCAAGCCAAATACAGTCAACAGTTGCAAGGATGAAATATTACAAATGGTGAGTATGATTTAGAGGTAAGACTCACAATATTCTGCAGGGTACAATTGAAACTGTATAAAATATAATTTATATAATATAATGCCTTGCGAATTTTCTTACCAATTCTAGGTCATTTTTCAGTTTTGTTCTTTTTTATGTTGCAAATTCAACATATATATTAAATTATATGTCTTGTATTATATATATATATATATATATATATATATATATATATATATATATATATATATTACTTTTTATTTTATAATATATATTTTAATAATGTTTACTTACTTCTAAAACAGATACAAAAAATTTTCTAAATAAAGATAATGATAAATACCAAAAATGGACGGACAAATATGTCTAAAAGTATATAACAATTAAAATTAGATCTTATTTGAGATTCAATGTCAACAAAAATAAAAGTAACTAATTCTATATGATCTATGAAGATAGACCCTGTACACTATAATTTTTGCTCGTTTATACTATTATATTTCGTCCCATAAAGATATGAGTTTAGTTGATTCTAAATGCTTTGAAAATATATTTATAACTACAAATTACCACTAATATCTAGGACAATTTCATAAACATCTGTTATATTTTTGAAATGTTTTTAAATATTTGATTTGGTGATTGACTAATATTTACATTTATAGCTTAGAAATATATTATATTCAAAGCATTATTGGTAAAATAGCATGATTATCTGAAGTTGTTAACATGAATTAGCAGTAAAAATAATTGTCTAGATACTGTGAAACATATAAAAAAGATTAGTTTCTGAAAATAACATAATCCTTAATATAACATGTGAAATGTGGAAATTTTATAGGCTTCTAAACATCTTTTTAATATAATAATGATATAATACTCATAAGAGTTGTTTAGATGCCTTGACATCAGTCAGTAAAAAAATTAGTTACCTTGATAAACTATCTTATTATTTGAGAGCTCAAATCAGTTGATATAACGCTAAAATTGTACTTAAGGCTACAAAACTCCATGACGATTTGAATGAAATGCCGCTGTTGCATCGATGATCCAAAAAGCAGAAGCACCAAGTTGTGTTGTCATAATATTTACTAAAACAAAAAAGCTTGATATGTAAAGTTTTTTTGAATGTTTAAACAAGCATATTTTTACTAAAATTATTTAGTATTACTATGTACTATGGTCTGTTTTTTAACCAGGCGGAGTAATTCAAATTTTCCACGCCGTAATGCTTGTTTGCAATTGGTCCAACGGCAGACAAGTTTACTCCACTAAATTATGACATATTGACACTAATGACATTTGTGAAATTTATTTATTTTTATTATTTTCCTCTAATATTTAATATATAAATCGATTTCTGACTCTTAAAGTTGTTTGTAATAACTTGGACTTGGTGATATGCGAATAGTATTTAATGTGATATTTTTCCAGATGATATTCATACTAAATATAGTTTAAAGTGTTTATAAATTTATAAATGTATGTTATTTATATCTAATTATCATAAGAAAAACGGCAACTGTCTTTTAAATTTAGTGTATACTTGTTAAGAAACATTTCGATTTTGTTTTCATCAACAATAAAAGAACATTAGTAAAGTAATGTTGTGTTTTAGTTTGATTGTATGATACAGTTGGTTTTGTTCTTCCTGGTTGTAGATCATCACAAGAAAACTGCAAAATTATGCAAGAATGTAACATAATAGATTGGATTTGTTGATTATCTCACAGAAATCCAGTATTTTTTAGTAAATTTTATTTGTTGATAACAAATGGGACAAACTCACTGTCAAAATTAAACAAGAATCCAGCATTAAAGAAATTGTAAGTACACACTTATTTATACAAAGTATCTGGTAAGAAAAAAAACTAGATTCAAGAAATTGATCATACCAGAATAAGAATATGGTCTACTATTAAAAGACAAATTTCTGAGAAAAACCATACTTAGATCTGTAACATTATTGACTCTCCTGATCAAAATATTCTCTAAATTATAATTAAATACCATAGACTTATCTATAAAACTGGATCACCCGATATTTAAATATATATACATGGGACCAAATGTGAAAAATGTTCTTTTTTTATTGTAATAATTGTAGTAATATATATTGGAAGTAAATTGAAAAAAATTATTTTATTATTCAAACAGAAATAAACAAAGTTAGGTAAAATTGACGTGTGAGGTTGTCCAATATTGATTATTCGATTACCACAAGGCCGAGATAATCAACAAAAAAAGAAGATCTTTTTGGTGACTTTTCTAGCAACTTTCTTGAGTGTGAATCTGTCTTTCTGGTTTACTCCTTCTGGTTAAAAAACAGAGTATAGAACAAGAGCTTTTCCTCACAGAATATAACAATGACTATATTTAAAGAGAAATCCACTTTTGGTTGCTTCTCCAAACACAAAAACAACAATACTGTTTCTATTGTCAATTTATAACATGATGATATTCAAAGCAACACAATATTTGCATAGAAGTGCCAGTGAATATTAAATAACTATTAATATCTTGAAATTTGAAGTCATCACATAGTACACCAAGAACATTTAAAGTTTAAATGTAAGAAAATATTGGTAGAGATTTAGAATATTTAGAATTTATTTCAGACATTATAAAATAAACAAAGGATAAAAAAGAATTGGGTAAAATTTCAAACAGCTGCAACAATCTCATAATTGAGGGTCTTCGATTAAAAGGGCCCAAGTGCAACTTTTTGAATATCGAGTTAAATACAGATTTTTATACCTAAAGTAAAGTTTTATTAATTTTAAAATGGATCCTAGTGATTTCACATATAGATCGCTATCTACTGGACTTTCAATCCTTTCGGCACAGGCCAAGTATCGGTTATGAGTTGCTCATATACAGTACTGGAAAAATTTTGCATTTCACGATCGAGACAGCCACACAGTAGTTTGTCTATATTCTTTTTATCGAAGTAGTGGATTTTTTTTCATAAAACTTAAAAAAAACAGTATTCAGAAAGTATGGCACTAGGGTGGGTGATGTGCTGCTGTGTATGTACGGCATCAGTATGGTGTATTTGTGGATCTGAAAGTACATGAACGCTATTAGTAAGCAAGGTGGAAAATGTAGAACATACTATTACGATTTTAGCTCCCCAAAGATGTAAATACTTAAAAATGTATAATGACAGAGCCTGGACGAAGAACATTAATTTGCTTAAAAGAACACTTTTACGGAAACAGTATCAAAAGGTTTAAAACAGCTTATAAAGAAACCTTCAAATTAAAATGGATCCAAACACAATTGGTTCACCTTAACATAAATTCAGTATATTGTAACTTTTATGAAATAAAATATATTACCACCTTTGAATATTTTATGGCATAAATTGTGTAAGAAACGATAGAAATAGTTAAAACTTAGTTTTGAGTAATATCTCAAAACTGGTAAATTTGCACTTGGACCCCTTTTATCCTTCTTCAGATGCAAATCCACTAATGGATGTTAGCGATCACATTTTCCATTAATTCTCTTTTCTTGCAATATGTATATCAGAGATTGTATGTTGTTAATCCCTGTCCATTGCCTTATGTTTCGGAGCCAGGACATTTTCTTGCGTCCCATTCCTCTCTTGCCTTCAATTTTACCCTCGATTATAAGTTGGAGGAACTGGTATTTTTCATTTCGCATGATGTGACCTAGATACGTTGTTTTCCTTTTCTTGACGGTTTTGAAAAGTTGGCGTTCTTGGTTTATTCTTTTAAGGACATCTATATTTGTGATTTTCGCTGTCCATGGTATTTTTAGGATACAGCGATAAAGCCACATTTCGAAAGCTTCTAATCTGTTTATATCCCTCGTTTTGAGTGTCCAGCCCTCTACGCCATATAGCAGCACTGACCATACGTAGCACTTGGTAAACCTTAGTCTCAGTTGAAGATCCTAAGTCCCCCAATGGAAAATAATTAAGGTGAAAAAAATTGTTTTTGCAAAACATTCTTGGACAAAAAAATTAGCAAAGAGTGAATTTAAAGTTTTTGTTAAAACTTAGGAAATTCAAAATAGAAAGTTATGAACTTTGCAGCGTGTTTACAGGGATGATTAATCATCCTTTTAAAACATTGCACAATTCAATATAAACATATAGGCACCTAATAATATTTTGTCTTGAATTTTATTTGAATATTGTGTGATTATTATTAGGATACTTGTTTCATTCATAGTACTGCAACTATCTTATTTAGAAGTTCAGATGCAACTTTTTCATGATATTTTTACTCTTTTCAACTAATTAGATAGCTCCTGTATATTATTTTAAACAAAAAAAAAACAAATTTTAGATCAGCATAATATATATCTTACTCATAAATATCCAATTCCTTCACTGAATTATTCACATAATTGGCTAATTTAACATCTACAGCTGCAGGCCTACAACCTTCATAATGATCTGCTGGAATATCTGTTCTAATACCTTTCATAGAGCTGAGGCAATCTCTTGTTATCACAGTTTCACCTGAAATATAAATATCGATTAAACACTGCACCCACAGATTTTTTCTTAAAATTACCATCTTTTTGTTCAAGAATTTTCACACAAACATCATCATCCTCGGGACACACTTTAGTCCAGTGAAATAACCAATTAAAGGGTGTACCACATCCAGGCTGTGTAGAAACACATTGATAACACCAAAGGGCAGCAGCTAAAATTAAATGTGTATTATCAATAAACTAATAATAAACCATTGATGTGTAAGGAGATTTACTTAAAATAATATAGCACATTATATGTAAAACCTCACACCCAATATGAATAAAAATATTTCCAATTTAATATTAAGTGGTGTTTAAAGAGGTTGAATCATAATTGCCACACCCACAGTTATTTGAAAATTACACATATTACGAACTTACTTTGGGCAACAAATACTGTTAAAATAATTGGTAAAACATAAGGCACAAATTTTCCCATATTTAAATATGTAAACTATTAATTAAAAAAAAACTTAAAATCTTGCTGCTGGTGATTACTTGGAATGTTTATTTGTGTTACTGTCTGCTGTCAATGCTAATGTCAAACAAGGGAAACTGGATCATGTCAGTTGTCTATTTTAAACTTTTTAATGGAAATCTGCAATAATCAGACCTAAAGTTAATTTATTCACAATAGATGTCACTCGTATCAATTTTGACGTTAAGTGAAAAATTTTAAACTTCTGTTTAAAAGGTATTTTAGCGGTGTTGCCGGCTTTGGTCAATATTTAACATTATTTACCTATGTTGCTCTAAAACTACTTTCTTCTGGTATTTTAACTGTTTAATTAATATTTGAGGGGAATTTACATTGTATTGTATGGTTCATACAATTCCAACAGCTTCCATTGGGATAATTGATTGGCTTCATTCGTGTTATTTGTATTAACTACAAAAATTAATCCTGAATTTGCCAAACAATAATCTATATATTTGGACAAACAACAATACACGCGTATTTCAGATAATGATGTTCTATAATAAATTCATTCCATATCAATTCTATTTTGCCTTTAAGGTCGTATTTGTTCGTTGTGGGTTGTTGCTTAAGTGTCTCTTTCATTTTATGCTATACTTTCTGTTTTAATGATGGACTGTTAGAAGGCCAAAAAAGGATATTTATGTTATGGTTTTCAAATTTCCAAACAAGTTTTTTTGAGTTTCTGGAGAAGACTTCCAACACATTTTTTGGATGTAAGTAAATTTTTAAGGATAGTCCATCAATAAGTACTACAGGAAGATTTACTTTTGATACTACTGATTGTTTGGACCAGTTTAGTTTAGATTTATCAATTGGTCTTAGAATAAAGAATGAATTCGACACCTTTTTTGAATTGGGGAGATATAAAATAGGATCTTGTTGTGGTAAAATAGTTGATGTTAAATTTCTACTCACATCTACGAAGTTTTTTTTCATTTATTTACAAACTTTTTCGCATCAACCTCTGGGGTTATTAGCGACATATAAACATATACATAAGATAATTTACTTATAAATATTAAATTCTGTTAAGTATATTATTTTATTTACGAAATTTTACCAATTGTTCAATTTTATATTTTTCTCCTAAGATTTCACTTGTTTGTTGATCCGATGATGTGGTTGGTCTGTCTCTGCAACTGGTATCTGGGACACTCTAAAAGGACATCCTTAACACTGAGTGGAATATTACAATTGTCACATAAAGTAGGATTAGTGTTGCCGATTATATGCCCATGTTTAAGTCGGGTATGTCCTAGACGAAGTCGTGTGATAATGACTTGATGAGTTCTATTGAAAATCCGATCTTTTCACGGTTTTACAGATGTTTTTACTTCGCGAAGTTTTAATGATGAACTGTCCCACTGGTTTTGCCACAAATTTTCAACTTACATTTTAACAAATTATTTTAAGTCATTTAGCACTACATTTCTCAGTTCACTCGCGGTTTCTTCGTTTCCTTGAAGTCCAATGTGTGAAGAAACCCATAGAAATTATAAAGTGTGGTGGCTATTTTGTATGGTAGCTAGTTCTTTTTTAATTAGGAGAGCAATTGGATGTGTTATTTATATAAAATTGGTTAATGGTGTTGATGGAACTGAGGAAATATATAATTATAAGAGCTTTGGATACTGGAGTTAATATGAGTGAGAACTTGGTAGATGGTATATAGCTTGCCGGTATGTATACAGCTTAAGGATGGTAGTTTATACTCAAGTGTAATATTTGAAGTAACGACAGCTGCCCCAACTCCAGTAGATGTTTTAGAGGCATCTGTGTGTACGTGATAGAAGTTAGAACTTTTTGTAATTTTTTGATGAAGGTAATTTTTATTAAGGAGTAGGGAGTATCATTCTTTCTAAAGATATTTAAGGATGTGTCGGATTGAGGAATGCTTATTGTCCAAGGAGGAAGAATTCTTATGAAGTTGGAATAGGTATTTCTTATCGGAATTTGTAAAGCCACGAGAGTTTGCCTAACTCTTTTGTAGAACGGTGGATTCACATTCCTATTTTCAGTATATCTATCAAGTTTTTAAAACGATCAGTGAATATTTTGTATTGTAATAAATTTAATGTTTAAAATAACTTTCAAGTCACTGCATAGTCTTACATTACATATTTAAGCGATGAAGATAGTAGAGAAAATTTTTGAGCTGTGTTAATTTTATTTCGAAGATCGTTTATTATGGACCAAGTTTCTGTGGCAACATTTTTAGAGCTTCCTCCACGATTTTGATAGTAGGTACATTTTTAGCTGTTTTGATAAATTTTAGATAAATTCCTCTGTACTTGGAGATGCGGATACCTTTGATAGTTCAAGGTTTGTGATGTTTTGACTTAATTGTAATTAAAGAAAATGCCTTACTAAAAATCCAGATAAGCCTATCTAACATATCACTGAAATTATAGTCTATGTCCAGAGAGGGAAAGTGCCACCCAGAAATGAAGCACAATTTTTGGAATGTACGAAAGTTCTGAGCGGAAAAATCCTACCTTGTAGATGCTTATAGGTAATAGCATAGTTATGGTTGAAAACAATCTGAGAGTGGTGCTCTTACCCTCGGAATATCAAATTCTGACTGCTTTGAGTGCTTTTGTATCATATACTTGTGTAATGTGTACTTACGTAGATCATTATGTTTGTTTATTTGTTACGTATATTTTATGTTTATTGTGTGTTTCATTTTTCATTTGTATTGTGTATAAATTGTAGATGATTTGTCGCCTATTAATCCGCTATTCTTTGTGTGTTCTAGAGCAAATAAAGTGAAATTTTAAGAACAATTTTAAGGTGACAAGTAGTAAGAGTCAAGAGTATAAGTGAGTTTTTGTTGGTTCTATGGTTTTTTACACCATATAATGTCCTTGACTTCCCCACACGTTCTTAAGAGTACAAGTTAGTTCATGCCATATTTTTTTGTAAGACGCACATTGATACTAGAAATGGGATCAATACAAAATAGAAATAGATCAATAGAATAGAAAAGTCCAACCTTTGTTTATGTAATAATACGTATAAAAAGTACACATATATTTCCCGGAAAACAGTTATCATTTTAGAATTAGTAGACCCAAATATATACAATATATTGTTTAACTAAGTAAATGGGCATTTTTTCATTCCCCCGAATACTTTTGTTTTTTTTTTGAATAAAAAGAGAAATTAAACAATTGTACAAAAAACAATATAAAATATATAATTTAAATAAAAATAATGAATATATCATTTACTTTAATTGATTTTTCATTGTTTAAAAAAAAAATCTGATATGTACCTAGATAACCAAATAATTCGTAAATTTGGCAACGCAAACACTTTAGAGGAGGAGATCTAGTTTACCCTGAACGTCAATGACGCTGTTTTGTCTTGTCAGTTGTTCGACGTTTCTGTTGTTGAAATATAGCGTGCTTTAGTTTGTTATTAGTTTGTTTTTAATTTTTCGATTTTCCGAGATTACATTTTTTTAACAATAATCGTGTAGGTGTTTAAGTTTTAGTGTTCCTTTTATTAATATCAGCTGGATTTTAACAGTTTATTATGTCTTAGGGTAAGTATAAGCTAATTAATTTGAATTTAATTTGTTTTCAGTACAGGTTTTCAAGTTTTGCAAGCATGAGATATATTTGAATAATTGAAACACTGGAGATTTTATTTGTTTATAAGATACTTGATTACAATTTTTATTTAACAATGGTTTAGTTTTCTGAACTTTATTGTGTGTCAATTGAAAACAAAAATTAGAATGACAATTTCGCTTATATTTCCTGGATAATTATTATACTAACAAAAGTACTATATTATTTATGTTTATTACATTTACCTCGAGTAATTCAATTTTTAAATAATTTGTCATATGAGTCCTTTTTCTCAGAATAAATTTAGTTGTTTAATTGTTAATTGTTTTGACAATAAAGCTAAAACACAGACAAAAACAAAAGAACTCTTGATTTCAAACAGTGTTGATTGAACAGTTTCTAATCTAAATGAACAACCTTCTGTTAATTATTTATACCGTTATTTAAAATACATTGTATTATAATATCACAATATTGAAATTGAATTAATACTAAAATGATAATTTAAGTATAGTCTATAGATAATTGTTTCTTGTCTGTTTTGCAGGCATGTTACATATTATATGTTTTATGTCCTTTCACTTATTGGTATCTATTAATTAATAATAGGAGCTTATGAACCTACTTTCTCAAATCGATTTAATATATTTTAACATCTCCACAGTAATATAATACATATTCAATTATCAATTGAACAATGTATAAGATAGTATACATGAAGATATATGTATACATGAAGAAATACGTTTCAAATATAATATATACCAGGAAGCAACAAAAATAATTATAGTTAACATAGAAACTGACGTAGAAACAAATTGAAAGAGCAATAAGGAAGGGAAATACAATATCACCTAAATTATTCATCTTGGCTTCCCTTAGAAGGGATCTTCAAGGAGCTCAATTGGGTCAACAAGGAGATTGAAATTAACACAGAATGACTGAATAACCCAATATTTTCGGATAATATAGTCCTGTTATTACAGACTATGACAAAGACTTTAAAAACAAATGATCCTAGAATTGGAAGAAGCAAGAAATATTGTACTGAATATCAATAGAAAAAAAATTCAATATCAGCTTTTAAAAAACAACAAAATACCCAAGTATGTGTCTGCGATCTCGTATTTCTTAATGCATCCCCGATACTCAGATACCGAGCTCCACCTTGGATAATGAGGAAGAAAATAAAATTGGTAAAAGTGATAAAGAAAAATGGAATAAGAGATGGTGGATAATGACATGCCTTTACGAGGTAACGTAAGAAACAACAGAAACTGTCACAAAACGTGGAAGTTTGACGTTAAAAGATGAGGGCGTAATAGATGTATTAAATACAGTGGCGTAACTTCAATTTAGTAGATTCAAGTTTTAATTGAATTAATCTGGTTTGATTTCATTCATTATCCAAACATTAAAGCAAAAGTTAACATTGATAACACAAGATTATTTTCGTAATATTCATACTTTAATTTATTTCAGAGTTTTTACTTACAAACATTTCTTTTCTTATTTTTATTCCTGAAAAGTGTTTGATTGCGTTGTCGATGTTGTTTGCTACTTCACGTTTAATCGAGAGCATTGCCAAACTATTTAGCCGGATTTGGCTCATCTTGGATAGTAAATAGCTTTTTATAAGTTTCAATTTTGGAAAAACTCATTTCATTAGAAGCAATAAAGACTCATACAAAGACATTTGGAACAGATTCTATCAGGTCCTTATCAAGAATAAACTGTTTCATCTTCAATGTAGTCCAATTTCTGGCCACTTTATTGATTTTTGCAACTTTTATATGCTGGTATAACAATTTTTTGCTTCTAGAATTCTTTGTCATAGTCATTGAGCAAATACTCGACCAGAACGATTTTGAATTTTTCGAATACAGTTTCCATTCTTTACATTCTAGTTTGAAGCTCTTGGGGTAGCTTGTCTAAACATTTAAGCATTAATTTTTTTGTTTTATCTTCGAGAGATAGTCCGGCATCTTCGTCTGTTTCTCCAGGCATTATCATTTTTAAATGTCTCCTACTTTTTTTTCAAGCGAGATTCCCTTTCATCATATCAAGTTTGCTCCGAAGCAAACTGGAGAGCCTTCGTGACCAACTCATATCGACTATCTTCCAAAAAGACTTTCAAACTTTTTAGTTTTATTATGACGTGTTCAATGCTTAAACACTCTGTCTGTAAATAGCTCTCTGGACTGTTTATTTCTTGCAAAATGTACCCCCATAAATGAAGGAATCCAAGAAATTTGAAATCACAAATATTCGAGAGTAATATTTCTGCAGAGCCTCGTGTTATGATATTTTCCTTGGCATCACACAATTTTTCTGTAACTTGAACTAATTTATCGAAATGTTTCAAAATAGTATCACCAGATGGGAAGGAAGGGCCTGGAAAACTACGGCCACTTATCAATTGCCACGATGCCTTACAGAGGGACTACGACCGGTCTATTCGAAGTGCCCTATGCGTATACTCCATCTTTGGTTTATACACAATCTTTCCTACGTGGAAGATAAATAAAACTCAGTTGTGGAGTTGGACAAGGTCCAGCTAAAGAGTCTAAATGTTCGGAGAACCGGAGCAGAGCCCCGACATCGGACTCCCAGGGTACAGGAGACCCTATTTGGGAGCCGAGACCGGATTGACTGAGAGTTGAAAATGTCGTATATTTATATATTTCTTATGGCATTTTCAGATCACTCATCCAATCAAAATACGAAGATGTTTTAAGGTAAGGCGATCGCATCGGTGTGCGTATTAGTATTATATATAGATTAGTCCGCGACTAAGGCTCCCGGTGACAATAGGTTTCACAGCTTCGTGATTGGCACGCCATCTAGTGTCAGATAGCTGTTTTACAGATACACCTATAACTTCCATTAAAAGCCTTGACTCATACACAATTGTAGATCCAATCCATCATTTTCCAGTGCATTATAATATCATACAACGTGTATTACAATGCGTACTAATTTTTCATAAAAGAAAACATAAAGTATACATTAAAACTATTTTATGGTATGTATAATCCGACAAGCGAGAGCTGGCGGGTGAGCTGCGCGAAAATAGAAAAGGAATTATTCTAAGAGAGATAGGAGAGGTACTTAATTGCGATTATAGGTATATAGTATAGGTACTTAAACGGTTATACACGATGTGAACTCCTAGCCGACTGCAATAGAAATGAGCAATTCCTTCCACTTTTTAATTTGTTCTACGCGTAACCCGCCAGCTCTCGCTTGTCGGGTTATACCAAAGTGTAGTTTTATATGTTTAATTTTTTTCTTCGTTATTTCTTAATTTTTATGTCAGGTGGGGCGGACTGCCCCTCTAGTTACGCCACTGATTAAATACCTAAATATTAAATGAAGACCATACTTAGAAAAAAGTAATCAAGGAGGACAAGGTTTTATTAGTAACATCCATCTTTTATTTTCTTCTGAAGTTATTTTCTTGTAGTATTTATTTTATCTTTTAGCTACACTATCTTTTCTGGAAATAAACTGCAATAGTATAAGTAGAAATATTTAAAAGTACATACTTAAGTATAAAATTTTTTATATACATACTAGAAATACACGAGCTGCAACAAATTCGATTCATTGCATAGGTATTTTCCATTTATTTGTGACTTATGAAATTTGTGTTTTTCCACAAATTTACCTTTAGTCAGCACCAAAAAATTCTCTTAATATTGTAGTATTAAAACGTGTTGTATTTTTAATTTAATTGCCATTAAATGGCTTTAACACCGAGGGACGCTACTACATAGCATCTACATAGTTTGTGCTAGAAGGCCAGGACCAGGTCTTAGAAGGTAACATTCGCATGCGACGATCGATTTTTGGTTTCTTTAAACCTGAGAAATAGTGATCTAAACCTATTGAAGTGCCACATTGTCTGAATGAATTGATAATCGTGGGTGTAAGAGGGTGGGCAGTTCGTTAACGAATTAATGACAACCAGAACACTAGATCTATTTTCAGTAAGCTCGACTGATTTTGCAAAGTAATACGAAAACTGAACTGATTTAAATTAGAATAACCTGTTATCCTCGGATAGGTCCCGGTTTAGGGCCATCAAACTTTCGCGAAAGAGTCTAAAGAGGACAAGCAGAGCTACGATTTTTTTAATAGAATAGAAATGAAAAAAGAATAAACGATCGAAAAAAGTTATTTATTACTTAAAGTGGTAGAACTTTCAATGACTGTATGCTTTCAATAAAAAGCACCTTAGAACATCTAAGGTACTACACTGTGAAGATAGATTATTTGCGCAAGAGTACCCCCCTTGCTAATAACTTGACGTTGAATAGTTCGGCGGTTTAGGCAGTATGGGACGAAAATGACTAATTAAATGTCCAATATTCAATTATCTTAAACGGAAGTATGTTTTATAGTCCGATGCTATATTAGACTCCCGAAGAAGAAACAATAAGCATTAATTAACAATAAAGATAAAAATAATTTTCTTTATAAGTGATGGATTCGACCGTTACTTGCTGGAAATTAATTTTATATAACAATAAAGTGTCTTTCTTAAGTGATCTATTTTTGGTATGCGTTTACACTTATAGTCTTTAACGAAATAGGTTGAGGAGTGGAGAACTGTTTTTCTCAAGTTGGTCATTCAAAATTATGTGTGTTTTTTAATTTGTTAATTTTCATAGATTCTAACAAAGATAGCTTAAGGCCTTTATTTTGGATGTGAAGAATTTGAAATTCGCCACTAAAAGAATGATTATGATCTAGAAGGTGAAGTACGTATGTAGAATCTGTTGTTCTATTATTGAAAGCCCTTTTATGTTCTGCGATACGTTTGTTAAAAGTTCCACCAGTTTGACCGATGTAAGTTTTTGGACAGTCGCCACATTTAAGTTTGTATACACCACTGTGTAAGTGCAAGCTGTTGTTTGTTCTAAAAGTTGGTGTTATTTCATTCTTTTTTATGCGTTTGGCTATTTTT